TAAAACCTGTGAAAGGCTCCCGGTCACTCCCACGATAATGAAAGCTTTATTAGAACGAAATAGTTACGTGGAATCCAAAAACATATTTGTTATCATACCAAGGAAACAATCTACTTAATATTTCTCTTAGCTTTTTCCTGATTCCTAAAGCCTTGTTGCCAAGACTCTCACCTCACTTCAATCCCTACCCACCCACAAACCACTTTCCAGATACTGTCACTCTCAGCCTTCGTGTTGCTGCAGTTCTGCTGAAGATGGAGTGGGAAACAGCAACTGCCCATCTCACCAGCAGGAGGTACATTCTTTTTGGCTCTAAAATTCAGCTGTGAGAAAATTTTAAACACATATCCATATCAGATCATACAACTATATTTATATTATATAATATTCTAGCCTCAAATTGTTCTTCCCTATAGAACATCAACAGTAGGAAGACAGCCATCTAAATACTGCAGTGCCACGAAGACAAACCCAGGGGTTTCTGCCAGGTATCTCCAGCTAGGAGGCTACGTTAACTAAAACTTCTGGTAATTCACACTTCCCGAACAACCATGATGCAGTACATGACCCAGCTGCAATGAGCTGACTCCACGTGGACTTTCTGTGAGTGCACGGAACCCTCCCGCACATCTTTTCCAAGACAGGAAATACATCTTATACCATAACGCAGCAGACCTGGGAGCGCGCGGTTAGCTAGCAGGCGCTTCTGGGAGCACATGCACGTATTTCACTTGCTGCCCTGTACTCGCATATTTTCCGTTCTATCCCAACACACGTCTTCCTCTTTATTCTGTAGTGCAGCCGCAGGCATCTCACACGTGATGAATTCTGTAACTGCGTGCACTGGGGACTCACTTCCCTGTGTCAATGACCAATGCACTTGGAGCCAGAGCGCGCCTCACCTCCGCCTGGCCGATGCCCAGCTCGGCCCACGCCGCCCACTGCAGACACCTGCCCCTCTCCTTGAACGCCGTCTCGTTGGACCCCCAGCAGCACTGCTCGTGGCTGTACCACGGCGCGCTGAGGCACACGCTTTCCTTGAGGTGGGTCATCCAGTCAGCAGCGATGCCTATCAGCCCAGCCAGCGCCCCTGGGGAGAGGGGGCGGACGCAGGGGTCAGGCCCTTTGCAGGGAGTCAAGAACGACCAGGTTAAAGGGGTCCAAGAAAGCTGGGGGCCCCCTATGAATAAAGGGCTGTGAAGGGAACACTACAAATTTAAGAATTCCTAATCTTTGTTATAAATAAGTTTATTTATATATTACTTTGTTAAAACTGTAAATAACTCATCTTTAAAATTGTTATTTCTTTGTTTGAAATTAAAACCAATTACATCATTCAAATTCATGGTTATTTTAAACCGGTGTCTGAAAGATACTAAAACATCTTCCAAAGACAGCCACCTGGCAGGAAGGTCTCAACTCTGCTGGTGAAGTCAGAGTTTTTACTAGTGTGTTTCAGAAACCCAATACACAGATTGACAGATGATGTCAGTCTCATGAAAACGTAATGTCCATTAGAAATAACTCGTGGAACTCACGGCAGTAATGCCTTATTGTGACAGATGATCAGTTTTCTTCTTCTAACAGAAAGCCAAATATACCAAGATCATTTTACGAACAATACAAGAATACACAGATCTGTGGTCAAAATCTAGGTCCTTCTCATGTGAAAAGACCAATGGGTCAGACAGGTGGTGGCCATCACGACCCCAGTGCTTCTCTACTCGCCGCAAAGATTTCACTTCCCTTGAGTTCTTCTGCACGTCATCTCCTCTGGTGGAGCTGAAGGTCATGAACACTGTCAAAGCTTCAAGTGTGTTTTCAGACCTTCACCTGCCATCACGTCCCCCACAAAGAGCCTTGGCCGGCGCTCTGCAGCTCGGAGGTCAGAGCATGGGTCCCTCCAGCCCCACGACCTCAGTCTGGTCACGCACCCTCTTCGTGCTCAGTCCCCTTGCTGCCAGACTGAGCCCAGGGGACCGCCATGAGTTTTACATGCACGGAGAGCTCTGGAGCACTGCGTGAGGCCTGGGAAGCACCCAGCATGCACTAGCTATTTATTATGCTGTTCACACTGAAGGTACTTTGCACTGATCATCTGGTCCAAATCACTGACCTTACAGGTAAAGAAACAGCGAGAAAGAGCAACCGAGCTGGCCGGACACGAAAGGGACATGGCCGAGACTGGGAGTCTGGAGCCTCCTGCCTCTTAGGCTTATGTTTAAGAAGGTGTGTTGAAGAAACAAAACACATGCTTTTAAAAATCCACAAGTACTTGAAAAAACTGCAGTTAGGAAGGGAGAACTACTTACTGTCCTGTTAAACAAAAAAGAATTGCATTAAAAACTTCCTTTACCTGATGCCAGCCAGCCCTGTTAGTGTCACCACGAGCCACCCTGACCACGCGTCACACAAGCTCTTCGTTATCTCCCACGCTCATTCTTTCTTTTTGCTGTTGATCTGAAATTGGAAATGTTTACGTTTCATTTTTCAGACTATGAATAGAAGCCACAATTCTAGAATCTAACAACCATCTCAGTTACTACACATGTTACAGCACTTTCTAAACTAAACAATGGGACAGGAGAGTCTGGGGCAGAATCAGTGTCAAACAGCTGCTACACCTGCAAACCAGACAAGCACCCACCCAGAGCCCTGCATCTGTAGCAAGAACCTCAGAACTCGAGAGCGAGGGGGTCCACAAACCACATCAAGTCTCCTGGTAGGAAGAGCTGAGTCCAGGTTTGGTGCAGGAACCAGGCAGGTTGAGTCTTCCCCAGAATATATCAAAGTCCACTAAGCCATGTCAAAGGACACGGCACCAACCCAAACAAGCTTCCCGCAGTCAAAGCTGGAACACTGTGGGCATCACGAAGGACAAGCTGTGCTGCGTACCCCGCCTCAAATGTGTTCAAGCGCACGAGTGCTTGAAGACGCAGAAACAAGACCCTGCCGGGCCCGCCTGGTGGCTGCTTGGGAGCCGCGTGGTTTCACACTTCCTCCCTCCTTCCTGTACAATTCAAACCTGAGGGTACCCCACTATCGGGTGAGGGAAAGGCTCTCTCTATGGAAATAGTCAAGCTAGTAAATAAAATAGGAATAGAATTAGATTACAGCATTGCTCAAGATACTGAAATAAATATTTGAAATGATACAATGTTGACCTGCCTCCAAGTAACCTGGGGTAGAAGGACTACAGGATAGGCAGGAACAAGCACTGAGACAGTTTTTTCTTTTAATTCGACGTTTTAAGAACAACAGTAAGAACAGTTCCATGTAGAACTTCCCAGCTTCCCAAGGGTTTAGGCTTATACAAGCACACATTAAAGTGCTGAAAATGGTATCTGACCTCCCTAGGGAGAGAGATGACGGATGTGAAGAGCTGGGACGCTCACTGACTGCTTCACGTATGGTGACGTTACTTGCAGTGTTTTCCAGGGCCGTGGACTACTTACACAATCAGAGAAAAAAGCAACATGCTGTGGTTTCTTTTAGTTTCAATTTTCACTAAAATTTTCTGAACACGGTGTCTTACGGATCCTCTGCCACCCTCACTTTAGAACACAGTCAGATCCTCCCTGATGTTCCCATGACTCTCAAGTTTCATCCTTCCAAGAACAAATGCGCTCACCTACCAATCACACAAGACACGGGGCGTGCGGTGTCTGATTCAGGCACGCTGGGCTGACAGTGGCTCCCATGGCTACAAAATCATCCACCAAAGTTCAAGGGACTTTAATGTAACAGAAGACAAAAAGTTCCCTGATTCAGTCTCACATCACACACTGCAACTAATCTTTAAGAAACTACCACCTGTCAGCGTGGTGCAGGGTCAGAGGAGAATATCCACAAAGATCTGAAAAGGTTTTTAAAACACTCTCGGCTTTTCTAACCACACGTTGTGTGAGGCTGGATTCTCTTCATAGACGAGAACCCAGCAGTTTTAAATAAACCAGACGATAATGAATGAGATTATAAAAATGTAACACAATGTTATTCCCTCATTAAATATTCTGTATTTTGGAAAATGTAGTTATTTTCATAAAACTTTTTTTTAATAATTTCATTCTCTTTATATAGTATTATTGGGGGGAATTAGTTTATCATTTATTTATTTTTAATGGTGATGCCGAGAACTGAACCCAGGACCTTGTGCATGCTAAGCACACACTCTGCTTCTGAGCTATACCCTCCCTCCTCATAAAAATGTTTTTTATGCTAAAATGTAATGGGTTTGTCAGTTATTTTTTAAATGAATTAATATTCTTTTACATTTCTCAGTTTTAGTATCTAATATGGTAAATACCTATTAATATAACCACATAAACAAAAGCTCAGGCATCCTCAACAATTGTCTAGAGTTTCAAGAGGACCTGAGATGAGAAGGTTTGAGAACTACTGGTCTTAGAACACTGACTGCATGTATTACGTCCCATTTTCAGTTATACCTATTTAAAATGTTTCCAGAAAAGGTAAATATTGACTGCTGAATCTCAGAAGCAGTACTTTTTGTAAACAATATAATCTAATTTCAATTTCAGGTTTCATACACGTGTACATTAATATGAAAGGTTATGACTAATTTGCACAAGTAGTTATTTACAAGTAAATTTCAGAGCTTAAATTTGTAAACAGTCTTTTGGAATTTGGAATTTTATTTTCAAGAATTTTTTTTCCCCTTTCAAAATTTGTTTTTGTAAGCCTCCATCAACAACAAAACACAACACCTAAGTTGTAGTTTTTAGTGAAAGCTACTCTTCTTTTGATTAGTGATTCACTACGACATTCAACATGCCCTACAAAGGACTTAATTTGAGACATACTCAGAATTTAAAACCACGGAAGCAGGTTAGAGGAAGCAAACCCCACGCCACAAAAGCCTCCTTCTCTAACAGCTGGAACCACGGCCGCAGCCTCCGCGCTGCTCCAAGCCAAGCACTATGCTGACCTCCAGGTTGGACCTTGGCCTGATCCTCCCCCAGCTCACATGCCATGGTTCCCCTCCCTCCCTATTTTGTCTCATGACACTTCAATTCTAAGCTACTTCAAATCCTTTCCAGAAAGACAGGGGATATTAAAAAAAAAAACTTCTAAAAAAAAGTCACATAGAGAAAAAAAGTATTATTTATAAAACAAAGAAATTTACTTACATCTACTTATAATGTGTAACAAATTTTGGCAAGCTGAGGTCACTGGCAGAAAGTCATTATGAAATGATCTAATTATGCACTGTACTTTAAAAGCTCCTGGAAACGCTCACCTGCTGTGCCTCTCTCGGCCCTTACACTTCTCCCACACCCAGTCGATGGTGTGGAAGTCATGATACGTGCAGACACCCGGGATCGGCTCATCCAAGAGGTCCAGCAAGTGCGTGGAGCCACTGATGCTGCCTCCGTTGGTCACGGTGTAATGAGTCCCTACGGAGCAAAATAGGAACAAGGAGCCTGTTTTATGAGAGACAATGGTGAACTGTGCAACCTTCTTAGCAGCTCATTAGTGATTCATAAAGAAACAGTATCACTTGAAATAACTGCAATAAAGTAGAGGAAGGAAAGCATTAAGAAAATGGAAATAAAGCAGAAAGACTATGGCCTATCCTTTCAAACTCTTGCTGGAGAATCAAACACACCTGCC